AGGCCGCCATTCTCCAAAACTGTGTTTGCTCCAAACCAAAAAATCCGGCCGCAACTTCTACAAAAATCCCGCCGAGCTTCTACAAAATCCCGCCGAGATTTCTACAAAATCCCGCCGCAACTTCTACAAAAAACCCGCCGAGATATCCTAGTAATTCCAGCAGTGCCCCACCGCACCTTTGCAATTCGCTTTACAAAAGCTTTTTGGCCACCTCAATTCCAAAGAACTCCAAGCTTTGGCCGTATTCATGCATGCATCCACCCATATATATATATATATATATATATAAATGAATATATCAATATGATATGCCCAATCACTTTAGCCCAACTTTTTTGCAAGAGAAGACACCTTGGCCGCTTTTTTGAGAAAACACTCGGCCACCTAGAATCTGCCTTTATGAATTCTTCCTTGGCAAATTGGGTGACTTTTTGACCACCTCAAACAACTATATTATCATAAAATAGAATGTATAGGGCGTGGATTTGGGAGCTGGCCGCACATGGAACAACCCAAAGCAATTGCACTTACATATATAATTTCATGTTTTAATTTATACACGTGGGTCGCCCGGTTTTTTAAGTTGGCCAAACAACACATGAATCCTTATATATATATGGCCTCGCTAACCACTTGGGCTTTAAAATTTATATTAAACTCATATATATATGAGGTTGATATTAACTTTTAGCCTCCAAAACCTTCAGCCGTCTTGCAAAATAACTACAGACTCCAGTCTCCACGAAAACCCCCAGGACTCTTGCCCAAAAACTTGTGGCTCTTGGCCGATAAAAACTGGGCATTGAAAGCAAAAAAATCTGGCCGTACTCTCCAGTGCAACCGGCCACGAAAACACCAAGATTTCGGCCGCAACCTCTCCGCAAGCCTCAAATTCAATTGTGATTTTCAACAAACCCAAACAATAGTTTTACTATAACTACCTAACCGAGGGATTTAGTATAACCATCGAACTATCAGACCTTATCTCAATGGAATTTGTTAACTCAGTTTCATGGCTCTGCCTTGTTCCAGCAATCTCTGTTGCCAAACTCTCCTTTAGTTCCACCACCACCGGACTCATGGTTGGCCTTTTTATAGCATTTGGAGATACACATGCCATTGCCATTGCATCTTCAACAACCTCTCAATCACTTTTCTAAGTTCTACTTGATAAACAGTAAGAGTGGATTGGAACTTAATTAACTAATGACATAATTTGTTTGAATTCGTTAAAATGATTAACAAGGTAGGTTCTCTTCAATTATAAAAAAAATAGTATAGATACAAGAAAAAGCTCTACAAATTAGTGCAAGGAATTTGAAATTTCGTGTAACATTCCAAGACTGCTAGTATTAGTTTGGGACTCAATGTGGGAAGTCATTGTAACTGAGTTGCTTGAACTTGCATCATCGCTCTCCACAATCTCTGTTATTTCAAAAGGCATCTCAATTTCCAAGCATTCTTTCAAATCATTATGCACAACAGTTATATCTGGCCTTTGGATTGCTGTTGAAGATGCACATGCCATGGCAATTTCTATGGCTTTCCGAGCAGAAGCGTTGAAGTAGCTCCCTTGTAATCTTGAATCCACAATGCTTTCAATTTCCATGCTCTTGAATTTAGGACACATCCATTGACATATGTGAATAGGTACATCTTCTTCATCTCTTGCTATTGCTGCTCTACCAGTTATAAGCTCTAGCAACACAATCCCAAAGCTATATACATCACTCTTTTTGTTAAGCCGTCCAGTGCTACAATATCTGGACGTAACACATCAACACAAAATCTAATTAGATTGAGCATCGAAACTCAAACCTAATTGGCAATGACTGAAGAGACCTATACCTTGCACATGATTAGTATGCAAAGCTTTCATTCCCTAATTTGGGGACAATAGTACTCTCAATGCGCAAATCTTGTGGATTAAAAAAAGTAATTAAGTAATTAAGACTTACTGAGGATCAAGGTATCCAAATGTTCCCTTGGCAGCTGTTGAGACATGAGTGGCGCTTTCAGTTGAGAGAACTTTAGAAAGACCAAAGTCAGCTATCTTGGCTTGCAACTTTTCATTTAACAAGATATTGGATGTCTTTAAATCTCTATGCACAATGGGTGGCTTGCAACCATTGTGCATATATTCTAGTCCTGCAAAAGTATATATATGTATATGCCAATATATCAGCCAGAATAATATTGTGGACTATATAATTTATTTTTTTATGCAAGCGATATTCTAATTTAATCTAATCGATCTAAACTACGGGGAGGGGGATTCGAAATTGGGTGCATAGTGAAGAGCACATCCACTCTAGCCAACTTGGCTAAGCCCATATCTGCTATGGACTATATATTATTTTTCAAAGAAAACATTTATTTTAGTGTTTAATTACCTCGTGCTGCATCTACTGCAATTTCAAGTCTTTCCTTCCAAGTCAAAACGTCTTGAGTTACATCTGCACAGAAAAGTTTTCCATGGTCATATAAAGTTATTTAGATTTCGTTAAAAATAATGAAGGAGAATTAGGTGTTACCAGCTGATAGATGCTTTTGCAAATTTCCATTCGCCACGTACTCATAAACGAGCGCCATGGTCTCCCCTTCATTACAGTACCCAACCAGAGAAACCAAATTTCTATGATGAGCTCTCATCAACAGTTCAACCTGGCATTTGGTTTATGTCTACTGTTTTTAGCAAAACTAATATTGATTTTGTTTAGTATCTTTTTAACGTCCGGTATGAAATCTTAATAGAACCCATATACTATTTACTATATTTATTGGCCCCTTTATTGACCACCTCTCTAATAGAGGTGGACTCGACTAATATACGTGGAACCCACATGTATTAGAGAAGTGATCAACAATGCGATACAAATAGCATTACTTTAAATATATACCTCATTTTTAAATTCTTTTGAGCCTTGCCTTGACGATGAATTGAGCAACTTCACAGCAACTTTAGTCTCATTTTTAAGAGTGCCAAGGTATACTTTTCCAAATCCACCTCTTCCAATTATTGATGCAAAATCGTTAGTAATCTTCACGATCTCCGAGTATGCAAAGCGTTGACCCTCGCACTCCAACAGACTATTTGGTTTGAAATTTTTCATCATCTCTACACACGGAAAGAATCATCACCATGTCATATGAGACACAGACTATTACACGTTGATGTAGCAAGTTTTTCGTCCTATTTACCAAACCTTCAAGCCTAGAGATTATTTATCACGACAAATGGATCAAAAAGAAAACCTAATTACTCATAGACTCGGACATAAGAATGAATGGTTTTTTTTTATAAAAAAAAAATATAAAATCAACGGTTTTGTGGGTGATGTGAGAGCATAGGAGCTACGGGCTCAATATGTGGATAGCTTATTTTGAAGCAGGGGTAAATGCTCTTAACTATTGACAATGGACAGTGAGCAAAACTATGTGAGGAAATAGTAGCCATAAACATTAGCAAAACTATAATGAGGAGTTTAGAGTGAGGAGTTTATTTGAGGGGTTCAATCCGACCATCAACAAAATGTGAGAAAATCAATGGACTTAAACATTTTAATAAGTTTGATGGTGGAATTGAACCCCTCAAATAATCTCCTTACTCTAAACTCCTCATTATAGAAGCTCCCTTTAAACTATTAGCCGACGCTTTGATTAATTTTCCGGAAGTCACACTCTCAATAAGAAATACTTGGCAGTTTCTTACCATGTTGTCGTTTCCTTTTAAAGCCCATCCCGAAGACTACAGCTAATACAGTTAATACAGTTAATACAGCTGACAAGAGGAATAAAAATTCAAGCAAGTATAGTGCGACGTGACTACTGATATTCCGCTTCTTCTTTAATTCGCAAGAAATTTGTTGGGAATCAGATAGATTTGGATTTTCGCACAAACTGGCAAAAAAATGGTGGATGGCAACTGTAGTAAGATTTTGATAGATATAACAATATATATAATATAATATTTTATTGTTTATTGGCTAATTAAATTAAGAAGCACACCTTAATGATAGCAACCCATCATTTCTTCTTTGAATGAGTCCGAAAGGAACAGAACCTGTGAGATTGTTTTTCTCCAAGTTTCTGCATACACAGGTAAACCACTGTATCTATCAGCATACCTTGTATTAATTAATTAAGAAATTGCGGTTTAGCCCCATTAACAACAACTTACAGGACGCTTAAGTTTGGCAGTGTAGACAAAAAATCTGGAATTGATCCAGTTAGGTTGTTGTTTGATAAATCCCTGTAATGACGAGCAACATAAGCTCATTGAATTAGCAATTAATTAATCGATTTATACTAAAGAATAGTTAAGGCATACTTACAAAGTCTCTATCATGGTGAGATTTGATATAAAATGAGCTATCTCCCCTGTTAATGCACTGGAGGACAAGTTCCTGCACGATTGAATGCATATTTTCTCACTTAATTCACTAAATGAAATTGTCAACGGGGTCTAACCCAGTGGAAAAAGGGCTTTGACTTGCAGACAAGAGGTCTCAAGTTCAAACCCCATGGCATCTTAGTTGTGTATGCGTGAGAAACTCCTCTCCCCCTGTAGTTTAGTCTATCACCTGTGCTATAAAAAAAAAATTTACTAAATGAAATTAATCAAAAGATACTTACAAGGATATTATTCTATGTTGCTGATTCGTTTTGTGCAACCTGCAGTTTAGACCTTCCCATGAGTAAAGTTGAGGGCTACATGGATCGCCTTGCCAGTTCCTTTTGATTTTATGAGTCGCCTTGATGTTTGTGATAGCATCCACTAATATTTTGAGAAGCAATCACAAAACACGTTCTTGTAAGTACACTGGAAATTATGGCACCAAATCGACATTGAAGATCTAAGCAAGGGAGAATTACTAATTACCATCTTCTTGGTTTGTCTCTGCTTCTGAGAAATTTTTAACCATATAAATCTCAAAAGCGTTGAGGATGGGTGGGAGGGTAGAGTTCTTAGCCCTGGTGATTGAAATATTATATTGTCCAAAAGTATTCAAACCGCTAGCGCTGAAAATAGTATATGTGTGCAAGTAAGGAGGAGCAAATGCCCCATAAATGAGTTTTCCGTTCAAGATAATCTGTTGCAGTCTAGATTGGTTGGGATCGGCCCTTTCAAGTTCTGCAAAGTGCAGGTAACTACAATATTCTGCATTTATATTTGGCGGCAAAATAATTCTCAAGGAATGATCACTTGGATTTTTTGGCGTTGCAGCGGTACTCATAACAACCGACGGTAGTTGGTAATGGTTGTTAGATTCAGAGCCGATGGTGGATGAGGTATTTAATTGTGTCCAATAATTATCGAAGTCATGATAGGAAGTCCAGAAGCGATCATAAATATCGAATGGATACCTAATTGTAGTAATTCATACAGCCAATTTTCCATCAGAATATAATTCAAGGATAAATTGCAAACACAACACATAGCTAGCTAGGAGATGACTCACCTGTATGATCTACTATTAGCTCCTTGGCCCGTGTCGTACCGGGAGACAAGTGCCAATGATGACTCCCTTACCGTTTGATAAGATTCATTACTTAAAGGCCTGAGTTCTATAGCAGATATAAATGGAACCCCAGAGTCTGTGTTCACCAAACAAACATGTATATAGTTTCGAGGTGGGACATGTATGAGCTCTTTGTGCGTGCCTGCACCGGAGGCACTTCGAAAGCTAACTGTATCCCACAAATCAGGTCCAAGGTGTAGTTCAAATTCTGGTATCTTGTCTTGGCCATCATAATTCCCATAAACAAAACTCGCGCGGATCAAATATTTGTTGCCTCGTGTAACATTTATTTTGTAGCAATTCCTGACTCCTTCGGGGAAGCACCTAACATACCAGTATGGCTGTAGATAGTCGTCTCTGTCACCAAGCAATATGGATTTACTTTCACCGGTGTCTATGAAGGTTGCATCGGAAATGTAGTTAAGGCCAGTGGTCTTTTCAGTATAACTTGAATCTGTCTGGAGGCCACAATCTATGCTAATAAATCCTGAGATATATAAGCACATATATATATAAGAGAGAGGTCATAGCTTATAGCTTTATACCATGTTACCAAAATTAACAAGCTTATAGCTTATAACTGCAGATATTTGTACCTGATTGATCATCTTGGGAATGAACTAGCAGCACCAGATTAAGTGCGAAACCACCAAGCAGTGCAAAGAGGAGTTGCTTGAATTTCCATGACATTACTACAAGGGAGAAGCTAAGACAAATTAAGTAAGTTATTTCTGTTCAATGGATAACCTTTTATATTTTATACATATATATATATATATATATATAATATGAGCCTAACCGTCCATGTCAGAAGGACTGTATCATCTTCTATATGGTGATGACCAATTTGCTGAGAAAATTGTGTGGAAAATTTGGGCTTCACTCGCCATACAGTGGGGTTTGGGGAAGACTTGTAAAACACGACCTCCATGGGGAAGAATTAGTTGGTATTCACCGACCACTTCTATAGAAGCTGCCACCAAGTCAAGTCAAACCGAAGACTAATTCATGATTTGGTTGGTCAAAATTTCGAACATGCACGTAAGTCCTAAGAAAAAAGAAGAAAGGTAGTTAATGCCTTGACTATAAATTTCATTTGGAGCAATGTTTCACTTACATTCCCAAACCGAATAAACTTTTTAAGAACCTCATACATAGTGAAAGTAATACTGTCTCCTCATGACTTTTTAACATCTTTCAGAGCTGAAAATAGTGACTTAAAGCATATCAAAATCTTCAATTATTTAACCATGAGATGTGGTGTGGTGGTAGCTCACCTCATTCCTTAACCATGAGGTTTGTTTGTACCATATCTGATCCTCTACTCGTACGACACGTGGATCATGGGGACTCACCCAAGTACCCAAGGCCTCGAACAATCGGTATCGGCTACCGATGACATTGTCTCAAAGCTACCAACAGCTGCTACAGGCCCATCCCGTCTACAATCGGTACCCCCTGCCGATTCTGTACAATCAACCTCGAAGCACCCGCCCGAAATATCTAAGGACTCGTGTCAACCTCATAGGGCATTCCCACGAGTCCCACATCGAAAGAAAGTACTAAGAGCATACAAAATGCCCTCTATAAATACACCCCTTCACCACAGTACAGGGGTAAGACTTTTAGCTTGACTTATATACTATTATATTGTCAACAGCAAGAGCTCTTAGAAACCAAACTTACTTCGGCATCGGAGGGTCTTAGGCTGGTTCCACACCGGTTCCATAGACCTTACGAGTCTCGACTTCTTTCTATTCAGGATCAGCATCCAAGGACAGGAAGAATCGGCATCTAACACTCAATTGATCTCTCGATCGTCCATCTCGCTTGTAAGTTGCACTCATCTCTATCTGTTCAGTTTTAGTGCCAACAAGGTTGGGGATTCGATCCCCGCCCATGGGAATGGAGCGCATTTCGTGGCCAGCCGTTTACCTCCATTGGAAGAGCTCCCGCGGCGAAAGAGATTAGTCACTGCTGTCGACGGTGGATACCCTTGGGTCTCACCTAAAAATAAAAAAATCTTCAATTATTTTAGCCCTTAATACAGATGTTAAGAGTACATAAGAGTAGTATTTTAGAAAATATCTCTGTTTTGAAGTATCAAAATTTTGTTACTTAGTTATTAGCTCATGCATTTTCATCAAATGTCCCATAAAATAATTCAGGATGAATCCATCAAAATACTTCACATGCGGTCAGCCTCTGTCAAGAAGATGCACTTATCGTTGGCGTGAATGAACTATTCCCATTTGGAATAGATTTTGTATTTATTGTAATTACCCAATTAGAGTAGAATTAGGAGATTTTGTATATATTTATTATTTGTATTGACTATGTATGTAAGTTTAGGATCCCGAGCCTCTGTATTTAGAGTCCACATATTTTTCTGCATTTTGCTTCATCTGAGCCCTTGTAATAATCTAATGACTTAAAATACATAACACATCAAACTTAACATATAAATTTTTAGTTTTATTAATTATTTTTTTCTAAACTGACGCTAGGCCCCGTTATCTATATATATATATCTCTCTTTGACTAAGCCAATTCCCACTTCCCAAGAATCTCTAATATTCAACACATCAAAATCTCAAAAATTCAAATTATATATCAAATTCATGGATGTTTTTTCCACTTGGAATTTGGTTCAACCATTTAATAATTGAATGCGAATGCGTGGGCACAATTACTGACGAAGATAAGAACCCAGACCAAGGACTCGAAGAAATTCCAAGGAGAGCTTGGAGGTTCCAAGTTGTTGACTCATGCCTGGAGGCATGATAAGAATAAGAAAAGCTTCAACATCTTTACTGTGAATCGTTGAAGTTATAGAAAAAATAGGAAATTCAATTTAGGGTGTGGATCTTTTGATGCCTTAGCAGAGCAGTAGTGGGTTTTCTGAAATTCCATTGATGCTTTTTCACTTGGAATTTGATTTACATAAAATCTTACTTGAGTTTTGATCTAGTGTAGAGGGGAAGTGAGAATTGGGAAATACAAATGTCTCCTCCTTGTGTTTATTTCGGTTGCTGTTGTGCGTTGCTTCTTTGTTTCTTGGGGTTTGTTCGTACCACTTTGCAAAATCCAAGGGAAGGTGTTGTATAGTAGTGTAGCTCGGAAGTCCGAGTGTCGTTTCCACAGAGAGCAGTGTAAAGCAAATAACAGAGATGAAAAAAAACATGTGTGATTGAGAAGTAGATTTATACAAGATTTGATTTAAAGAAAATTCAATTGATTAAAACACTAAGGCATTGGGGTTCCACTTTTAACATAAGCATGCAACTCTTATTAATTTGAACATAAGCATGCAACTCTTAATAATTTGATCCACAAAATATTTTCCATTGTAGTTGTTCAAAATAATTAAAGCTCTTTTTAATTTCCTTTAGAAGTATTCTAAGCATAACTTATACCATTGGCAACAAGCTATCAAAAAATAAACTTCATCAAAATTCTATTAATCTATAGTAATTCTCTTCTCTTTTAAAAGCATGAAAGTTTTTAATACACAATGGGAAAAACATGATTGAACCCATGAAATAGATTATCAAACATTCATCAATTAATTAAAAAAGAAAACTACAAATTCCATTTGAA